ATATATTTTATTTATTTATTTATTTATTTTTTGGACTATAAGTCACACTTAAAATCCTTTAATTTTCTTAAAAATCGACAGTGAGCCTTATGTATTAATTCTGGTTGTGCTTAGTGACCTCGAACTGATTGTATGTGGTGCACGGCGCTCAAAAATCTGTCAAAATGAACTTGTTTTGCTTAATGCGCCTTATAATCTGAAAAATATTGTATATTCTGTGATTTGTTGTGTTGAAAACTGCATGTTTCATATTCAAATCATCGTTTCAATATGAATTTCATGCAGCAAAATGACAGTTTTAAAGGTAAACACAAATCCTTGTGTGTGTGTGTGTGTGTGTGGGGGGGGGGGGGGGTAAGATTTAAGGTGAATCCTTTGTAAGACCCTGGGGGGGTTCTACCGCTCTCAAAGCGTTATGACAGGTTACACGCACCCTGGAGGCTCTGTCGCTCTCTGTTTGTCAAAACAGCATTTTCTGCCTCAAACGTGCAGCGAGGCGTTTTGTACAAAGTTCTCCGAGGTGATATCTCCTTTCACAAATTCCTGCTTTAACGTGGGTTCAGCGGAACGGATGAGAAATTTAAATGGTCAATTTCCAGTTTATTGGAGGGAAAAACTGGACATTTCTGGAGATTTTTCTAGATAATTTGTATTAAACCAGGTGTTTTTGTCTTTTCTCTCCATGGCTCAGCCTCTGATGATGCACTGCCGCACCTGCTCCCTGGTTACCAGCTCAGGTCACCTCATCGGAGGCGGCCGGGGCGACGAGATCGACCGGGCCGAGTGCGTCATCCGCATGAACGACGCGCCCACCGCCGGGGGTTACGCCAGGGACGTCGGCCGTCGCACGTCCCTGAGAGTCATCGCTCACTCCAGCATGCAGCGCGTCCTGCGCAGTCGCCACGAGCTGCTCAACGCCAGCCAGGACGCCGTGTTCATCTTCTGGGGCCCCAGCAACTACATGAGGCGCGACGGGAAGGGCCTGGTGTACAACAACCTGCGGCTGATGAACCAGGTGCTGCCCAAGCTCAAAGTGTACATCATCTCCTGGCAGAAGATGCTGCAGTTCGATGATCTGTTCGAGAAGGAGACGGGCAAGGACAGGTGAGCTGTCCCCACATCACAACCTGTTACTATGAACGGGCCACGAGGGACGTGACTGTGGAGTTAAGTTAGCTCCTTTGTTGACCACTGAATTAGTGTACAACTCAAGTATTCATATTAGTGTGTGTGTCTGTTAGTAAAATATCTCAAGAACCTGAGAACAGATGTCAATGAATCTCAAAGTAATCAATGGATGTACTTTTACAACTGGAAGTCCACCTGATTCAAGATGGCCACCACAGCCCTTACTGAACAAGAGTGGCTGTAACTCAGTCAGTCTTACAGATACTGACTACAACGAGGTGGTAGTAGCTGAGAATCCTCCCCGACACATTCTCTGAGTGCTGATTTCACAAGATCTTTGTTTATAACTTTGGCAAGGAAGATGGTGGACAATATGCACTCCTTCAAAGTGCACATGTGTTAGAAAAATAAATCTTCAACCAACTGGCATATAAAAAAACTCATCATCGGGTGTACATCTACGACTGATTTGCTTTTAACGTCAAGCTAAATCAAGATGGCCGCCACAGCCAAACGACATCAGAATCAGAATAAGCTTTATTATCATTGTACCGGGATGCAGTGAAATTATGTTCGTACAGTCGTCTGAAAGATGGGCGGAGTGCACGTTGCTGCTGCTCCTGAGAGCGCGGCCCCTTAGCCTTTTTCAGAATACTTTATTTTAGATAGAAAAGGGGAAAAAAAGCCATGAGGGTAGAATTACAAAAAAAATATCTCTTCACATCTTGTCCCATCAGGACACAATTTAAGACGTCAAAAAACTCTGCCAGTAAGCACATTTATAACACGTTACATGTGTATTAACAGCAAGATGGTGAGATTTGTCCATGAAGCACTTCCAGATAGACCATAGTCCTGATAAGATGTTGGTGTCAGCCGACACAGTTCTGGGTGGTGGTGGTGGTGGTGGTGGGGTGGGGGGTGATAGACCAAACTTTTCCTTAGTTTACACATACTGTATCTCAGGAGAAGTTTGATAAGTCGGCCTGCTTTCAAGGCCAACTGGGGGGGTCAGGTTCAGATAAGCTACAATTGTTGATTTCTTTTCAGGTTTTTTCTTGTCAGTCCTGCTGGAACTTTCTATCCAAAATGTTCAGATTAGTGGGCATTCCACTGGTCCGTGCTTACGAGCCCCGCCAAGGTCGTTTCCAACATGCTGGCGAGTCCCAGAAGCTTCAGGCGGCCTGCGGTTCTCACAAATGGACAGAAAACACAAACATGGCTTTAATGCAGTCAGGTTTACAGAGCAGGAGCTAAAATGTGACGTGGCAGTAGCCGAGAGTCGTTCCCAACATGCTGAGGGTGACATCTATTGTGTAACACTTTTAAAGTTTGACCAGAACTGCAGCTTTACTTCTCAACGTGACGGTTTTAGACCAGAATATTGACATGAAAGACGGAGGGAGGGTGATATGTATTCCTTTTCATGTGTTTTGCAAAATCCCACTGACTGTCTTAATTTATTTCTCACGGTTATTCGCTACATTGAGTCTCCAGTGCAGGACGTCCCACTAGTAAAAGTCACAGTATCATGTTCAGCTCCTGCAGCTCCTTAAAGAAATGGGGAAGAAAAGTAAGATGCAAAAGTCTTTTTGATTACGTAGCGCTGGTTCTGCATAATTATTAAAAAAAAAAAAAAAAACATTGAAGGATTCAGTTTTAATGAGTCCAAGCAGAGGTTTCAGTCTGGTGGCCATTAATGCTGAATGAATCTCCCACTGTGTGCTCAGTGGTTATCTGCCTGCTTTTTATCTGAGCTTTTGTCTGGAGTTTCAGTGCAGATTTAATCTGAACTCAGTTTAGGAGAGAAGCCAGGGGAGGAGCGTGCCAAGCAGAAGATTTGGAGATTGATGCGGAAATCCATCCTTCTGAATTTGTGCCTGTAGAAAGGGGAGCTTTTATTACCGTTATTTACTGTTTTTCATCTTTTGTATTATTGGGCATGAACATCTGCGAGGCGTATATGAGGTCATTTCTGCTCTGTGGACTGTTAAATTAGAAAGAAGCCAAGTTTTATAGTGTTACTGTTACATTTCTGTGGGAGATGTGTTTAAAATAATCTGTTTTTTATGCAGAATGAGACGTTAACTAGCGCAAAGCACGAACCTATTTCCTTAGCAACAGCTGCAACATAGCAGCGTTTCTGGACAATCAACAAGGTGATCAGCAACTCTGCAAGCTTGTAATTATAATTATTGGTTATGTCTTTTTGGTAAAGATAATTGAAATGGTGCGGGAGGAAGCCACATTCACAGATTTTAATAAGAAAGGCAGAGCAGCTTTGGGAAAAAGGCGTCTCTCTGCAGCCGTTGTGCTAAATTACCAAGACAGGATGAGCCTCAACTGGTGATTAAAGGCAAATTAGCTTTTAAAATATGTACTTTATTCCAGCTACTGGTTTATGTTCCTTTAGTGATTTATTGTGATCTCCAACAGCTTGACCTCAGTTTTTAAAACGAGATGCGGATTTTGTGACTCACAATCATTCTATTACCCAAAAGATCACGTACAAATCCTTTTAAAGCAGACCGTAACCCAACAAAACCGTAAAATCGCTCTGTAGTGATTTCTGAGTAAAGGCTGCGCTCACAGCTGAGAACACAAAGGGAGGCTTCCCGGCTGAAATGGATCCAGACCTCCTCTCTGAAGTGGATGTTTTCACCTGAAACACCCACAGCTCCCTGCAGAACTAGAATAATTGGACACTTTAGCCAAAAAATGCTCCCTCCTACTTACAACAGGTGGAGAGTGACCTTTAAAGGCCACACACACACACACACACACACAGGTTTTAAATTGTTTTGTGTGATAAGGTTTCTGCTCAGGTTGAAGGTGGGGAAACTTTAGCTGAGAGACAGGAAATGTCAGTGGTTTCTTTAAAGTATAATAAAAAGGATAAATGTGAACTTTGTCACACAAACAGACAAACACGTTTGCGTTTCCACACGTTCAGCCGTAGAAATGCAGCAAAAGGCCCAGAATTACTTAAAGGGATGTATATTCAATGTGAACGCGGTCGGGATGAGGATCAGTTCCTCCAAATCTGAGGTCATGGATAGGTGCGGAGTTGGCAGTGAAGCGGGCGTTGTACCGGTCTGTCGTGGTGAAGAGAGAGCTGAGTCAAAAGACGAAGCTCTTGATTTGCTGGTTGATACGTTCCTACCGTCATCTATGGTCATGAGGTTTGGGTCGTGACTAAAAGTGGGAGTTGTAGGCATGTAGCTAAAACTACATTTTCTACCGGAAACAGAATCAGATCTTGTTTTAACACAATATCATTCTAAATAACAAAATGGGATACATATATCTAGACATTTCATTAAGTTAATATATTATCTAATAAAATTATATTTCAGTATTTCACCTGTCGTCTTTCATGATGGAGCTTTAGACTAAAATCTTGTGTTGAGAAATAATTTCAGCATAAATAATTTTTTATATATAAGTCCAGGGAAAAAGACAAAATATGTACAAAATATAATTCGGTTACATTTCTGTCTATATATCTGTATTATGCTAATGTATGCTTTAGTAACTGCAGTTGTAAAATTAAAAGAAAACAATTGGAGGTTTTTGTTCCAGATTTTTTGTTTTGAAGTGAAACCAGCACGACCCATTTTTATATCTATTATATGATTTATGCAAAAACTACAAAACAAAACGTTGGAAAGTGTTTTTTATTTTTCTATGATGGTCCAAATGTTTGCTCACTGAGACTCAACTCAACCTTCAGATTGACTTCCTCTAAATACATATATATATTTATGTCCATCACCAGGTGCAATGGAGGAGCAAGAGGGTGGCCAATGGTGGCCTTGGCCATTATAGAATAATCTTTAGGCACCCCAGTCATTTGAGTAAATTATACTTTTATCAAAATAAAAACTAGACAGCATAGTCTCAGATGATGAGGTGACTTGTTTTATATGATGGTGATTTTCACGTGGAAACTCAATTTTTCTTAGTGACCTTTTCAGCGGCATGGTGGCGCAGTCGGTAGAGCTGTTGCTTCTCAGTGAGAAGGTCACCGGATCGAATCCCGGTTCGGGGGCCTTTCTGGGAGGAGTTTGCATGTTCTCTCCGTGCATGCGTGGACTTTCTCTGGGTCCTCCTGTTTCCTCCCACAGACTAAAAACATGCATGTTAGGCTGATAGGTAACTAAATTATTCCTAGGTGCGAGTGAGAGAGTGAATGGTTGTTTGTCTCGTTTGTCTCTTTGTCCCTGTGATGGACTGGAGACCTGTCCAGGGTGTCCCGCGCCTCTCGCACAGTCACTGCATGGGCAGCAGTGAACCCCATGACCCGAAAAGGAAGAAGTTGGTCAAAATAATGGACGGACCTTCTTTACGATGAAGTCACACACCAAAATGGACGTCAGCACGTAGCTTATTTTTCAAGTTATGCAGCTCACAATGTTTATTAAATACGTATATGGTGGCAGCCATCTTGGATTTTGACATGGAAACCTAATTTTCAAAAGGAATCTTTCTTATACCCAGATGAAGCCACACACCAAAATGGAAGTGGAAACCTCGCTTATTTTTCAAGTTACCTTGCTCATAACATTCAGGGAATGATGGACGAACAGAGGGAATTTTTACTTCCTGCGACGGGGGACAAAAATATATGCACTTAGTGCAGCCAAGTTATTTTTTTAATGAAAATGAAAAGCAGAGTCCAAAGATTGCAGCTTCCAGGGTGTAGAAACGTCAAATAATGAACAAAATCTAAATCAAGAATAACTCTGGAAAGACATTTTGTTTTTATTATCTTTTATTTCTCTCATTAAATATAAAGCAATAATGAGAGAGAAGCTGAATTCAGACAAAGTGCGCTGGAAGTCAAGTTCAAGTGGGACAAGAACATTTTAAGAAATCAACCCTTAACCTGCATAATCGACTCAGGTCGAACTTGTTAGGTTTAAACTTTTCACACTTGAAGAGCTTCATTTAAAATAAACTTTAATCATTTTAGA